CTTGCTCCTAATTTGTGTCTTGCCAATGAGTTTCAGCACCAGAAAAGTTCACTATGGATTCAGTGAGACTGAAAAAATGACAGTGGAATGTTCTTGGGGTGAAGGGTATATATCCAACTTTATCCCACAGTGGTAGGTCAATTATTAGAATCCCATCCATTCAGAGTAAGTCTGCCATGCAGTAAGCTAGTCGCTGTCTCTGGGCCTCTCTGCCCCCAAAGCCATCTCAGTCTCTGTCCTCGGTGTTTCCACCACTCTAGTTTCTGCTATCCTGCAGCTGTGCAGCCTTGCAGCCTTGCAGCCCAGACCACTGGGCAGAGCTCTTATATAGACTCAGTAACAATGTATTGCCCACATGTGTGTAGTGAGCAAGCTGACCAGGGCCAATGAGAACCCTGGCCATAGAAACCTTCACTTTATCCACACCAGGTATTAACTCTTTTACCCCAAGAATATTCTGTTTTCATTTCTTGTTCTCACTGAATCCATAGTGAACGTGCCTGGGGTTTCATCAATCAGGTGATCACAGTACCAGGTTGAGGGTTGCTATGATTTTCAACAAGCAAAGGAAAAAATGAAACAGCTGTTGATGTTGGGCAGGGTGGTTAGAGTGGGACATAAGCTAGAGCAGTGACTTACACGGTGGTTCCTAGACCAACAGCTCAGCATCACCTGGAAACTTATTAGCCATGCAAATTATCAAGCCCCAGGCCAGGCCTACTGACTCAAAAACTCTGCAAGGGGGGCTCAGCAATCTGTATTTTAATGAGCCCTCCACTTTTGAAAACCGCTGGGCTTCTCATAGGAATCATGTGGGGTATCTTGCTAATTGCAGCTTTTGTCTGAGATGGTGTCAGAGATTGTGCATTTCAAACAAGCTCCGAGGTAATATCAGTGATGCTGGACGGAAGACTGCACTTTGAATACAAGAGCTTACAGGTCAAAAAGAAAGAATCATGCAGTTACAGAAACTCTCTCATCCCAGTAGTGGTGGTTATGACATAAAGTTTAGGCTAAGTTGAAAGTTGTGTGAATTGGATCTAACATCTGGGTTCAGTGTAGGAGGTAGGTTTGTGAGCACTGGGGGAGACTAGTGTCCTAAGTTATAATTAACATAATGTCTTGCCAATGCGTTTCAGTCCCCGGCAAGTTCGCTATGGATTCAATGTGACCAAAGAAATTGACAGCAAAACGTTCTTTGGGGTGAAAGGGTTTATTACCCGGCTTGTTATCCCCGCGGTAGGTGGAGCACTAGCATCTCTGCCTCTGCCCAGAGCACCAGGCTGAGAGCTCTCTAAATGGTGCAATAATAGCTTATTGCCTAAAGGTGTGGAAGCAGTAGCCTAGCAACAGGCCAGTTACATCATCAAGTGGTTTAAGTTCAGTAAGGATTCTGGCCATAGGAACCCCAACTTCCCCACAGTATCTTAATTTGGGTGACGGTTACATGAGTGAATACACTTGTCAAAATTCAGCCAGCTGTACAGTAACATTTGTGCATTTTACTGTATGTACCTCAATTAAAAATGATATTTCTAAAATCCAAATCTGAATATACACTGCCTTGTCTAAGCCCTCCAGTGGCTCCTCCCTGCTTTAGGAGATTTCCCAGAGTGCTTCTTCTGGTGCATAAGGCCCTTGGTGAGCTGGCCCTCACTTATCTATCCAGCTTCTTTATCCATCACTCCCCAGTCTCTATACCCCATATCCTGCTCAAGTCTAGCAACACTGAACTACCTAGGGTTCCTCAAATGAACTGAACTTTCCTTTATTGTTGGTTGACTCTTTGTTCACAGTATTGCTTTGGCAAGGAACATATTTTCCTTTTTTAAATCTTTTTGCTCTTCTAATTCTCTGGGTCTCACCTGAGGTGTCACTTCCTCTAGGAAACTTCTGCTAATCCTCACTTCAGAAATCTCTCTGTAGCAAGTGGTGTTTGTCTGTTCACTGATCTGAACCCCTCAATTAAACTTTTATGCACAGGTGTATTTCACCACTGCTATCATATCCCCAAAGTACAGTAGTCTCTCAATAAATACTTTATAGAATAAAATCAATAAATGAAAATTACAGTAGTATGTGGTAGCAGAGCTATTGTTAACAAAGATAAAATTTATTTGCAAGGATTTTTCATTTGAACTTGATTTAGGGCCTTAGAAAAAAGAGTATGCTGTGTCAGAATGAGAATTATTCAAGTATGAGTGAAATTTAGTATTACATTAAATAGAAAATTTTAGGTTCCACTTCTAGGAATAGAGGATTAGGTGGTTGGGATCACTTATCCTCCTGAGAACAGCTAGAGAATCTAGACAAAATGTTAAAAACACCTTTAAAGACACCTGAGAGCTCCCACAGCAGGAAGAAATTGAAAAGCTAGAAGTGGGACACTCAGGGAGGCAGGTCTGGCATTTGGGGCTGTGTTTTTGTTCATTCCATCATTAGTTGTAGAGAAGCAAAAATCTGTGTGGTGCTTCTGACCAACTGAATCAAAACTGGAATTCAGGGCACATGGAAGAGGAAGGGTCCTCGTATACGCTTCAGGCTTGTGTTGGAACGCCAAAGGTTTTCACCAATAAGTAAGGTTGAGTCATGAATAGATAAGCCCTCTCAGGAACTAAAGTCCAGTTCTGAATCATCTCTATTCTGATCTAAGATTCCTAACACCCCTAGCCTCACTACCTGTCAAAAGCCAGCACAGTTCTCCCTGGAGAAGAGAACATCAGCTAGAGCTTTAGATTGTATCTCCACTTTTCAAATGTCTGGTTCTCAGTAAAAAATAATGAGGCATGTATAAGATAAAACAGTGCACCCTCAAAACCGAGGAAATATATAGACAATAGAAAGAGGCTCACAAAGGATCCATGAATGGCTATGCTTAATTTTTTCAGAGAATTAAACAGTAACTTATAATGTTTCATTTTGTGTTTGCTTAAATTAATTGGATTATTATCTTTTTAAATATAGCAGGAAATTAACACATGTTTTGCTATTTTAAATAGTTCTATTTTATAGAAAAATTATATAGAGTATGTTAAAAATATGAGTGTAACCAGGAGCTCTATCTTTTGGATGAAATCGCCCATCTCTAAAGGACTTTAATTCACACTGGAAACAGCACAAAACTGCTACATCAGGAAAGCTATTTGAAGAGAGGCAGATTGGAGACAGAATGGTCTTAGAAGCAAAAATCATAGCCTACATATGCTGCTACTTGGAGTTATCTATATGTACTAGATCCTCCTCACAATTTCTTCAACCAAATTTTATTTCCTTTGGCTAGGTTATGCCCAGCTCCTTGTGTAAACTCTTTAACTTTTCCTGAACTGTACTTCTTTTTTCTGCTTTTGGTCCTCTGGGCACTGATCAAATCAAATTCACTTGGCCTTTGAATCATGAAAAAATGTGCTTGTCTTTATAGTTTAGACTCTGATTAAAAATTTAAAATTGGCCAGACTACACTTGACTCAAAAGCAACATTACTCAGCTATTGATGAGTTTATATTATCATTGATATGGAATCAATGATACCTTTACAAACTACTTAGAAATGGTCATATCAGACAGGAAAGGGGCAGACATAGTGTCATCCTACAAAATACTGTCTTACCCAGATTACCCATTACCCTTAAATATGTCTAATGGCTCACTTGCCATATCTTATACACATTGCCACAATGAAAATATACATATTTATATATACACACACACATATTAAAAATGAACAAAAACATAAAATTTTTATAATATATATAATACAAATAATAATATATATATTATTTCTTCCCCACATTCCCAACTATGGTTTATACAAATTTTTCTATATATGGTTAAAATATTCCATTTGACCTGGATAATTCTAGAAATGATTTTGAACTAAAGCTGTTGGCTATATCCACATGAAAACAAAGTAGTAATGTAGGAAGTTTGTGATAATGCTAAGTTTTGTAAACCATTAATATTGATTTGTGCTAGAGACAAACTCCTTAATGTATAGTTTCACAATGGAAACATGTTCTGATATCATAAATAACAAAAATCTGACTGACATGTATTTCACATCCAAATGACATTATATTTGGACGTATTTGTCCAACTGTCTTCCAGACACTGCCACCTGAATGCCCCATATGTATCTAAAACTTAACATATCCAAAATGAAACTCATTTCTTCTCATCCACCCCAATGTGCTTTTCATCATATTCTCTACCTAAGTGCAACATGCCCTAGGGCACCTAGTCACCAAACCCCAAAGCTGGAAGTCATTCTATTGATTGGGGTAATGACCAATGCCACAGGCCCTGAAATTGAACTGTTAAGAGTTTAAATCCACCTTCTGCCACTTAACTGTGTGACACTGGGAAATTATTTAACCTCATCAGGAAAAATTACACATTTTTCATGTGTAAAACTGTACTTAACACATTAAATTGCTGCACAGAATAAATGAAGTAAGAACAGTATCCCCCTACCACCAATATCCAACTGATGTGAAGTTCTATTGATACTGCATCTTAGTATTTCTTTTATCTGGGCTCTTCTCTACATTTCTGAGCTTAGAAAAATCACAGAGCATTACACATATACACCATGCCAGCAAAGGACCAAATATGACATATTCAGGCTACCCCTTGTAAGTACACAGAGAAACTGCCTTACTTAGTTTTCTAGGCAGATTTTTTTTTTTTTTGCAGTATATTGGTTAAAGTTTGAAACAAATCCTGACATTGATTTGGGGCAATATAATAGAGCTTGAGAAAAGTCTTTCTTTAAAAATTCAGAATTGTAATTACTATCTGCAATTATATGTGCAACGGTGAAATATTATAATAAATATTTAATACATGAGGACTATTCAGAACGCTAATCTAGTATGTTGCACCTAATAACCAGTATGAAATATACCTATGTTCGACAAAACTTACATTTAATATAGATTGCATAAACTAAGACAAATTCCAAAGTAATGCCGAAAGTTTGAAGTAGTTATGATGGTTGTTACCTTTTTGTTTTCTTAATACCATATGACTTGTCTTCTGTGATCTTCGATACTGTCTTAGATGTGGATGTACCAATAGCCTCTTCAAATTCCAATTGAAAATCAAATGTCAGGGGTGTAACCAAAGTCTTTTTCTTCGCTAGATTCTGAAGCCTGTTTTTCTGCAGCAAGGTTAAAGTATAATAACACTGTGAAAAAATGAGTACTTTTCATATAGGAAAAGTCCTTGTGGAAAGGACAAAATAAACATCACTTTATACACATACAAACACCCACACTTTATACCAAAATAATTCTTCATAGTATTCACTTACATAGAAGACTCAACTAATATAATTGTTTGCTTTTTATGTTAGTTTATACCTTCACATCAATGCATCATTAACTAAAAATTAAATTAATAATTCCATTTGAAAAGATAAACTTTTAATAATTAAATTGAATTTTAGCTTTTATTTTACAAACCTTTGTTCTTCTGGCCAAGAGTATTTTTGCTTGCTCATCCAGAATATCTAATTTCCCTAAGATATTTTCTGCCATTGTCAGTTGGTAAATTCCTATTTGAAAGGAAAAAAGAGAAGATACCTCCAAAACAATTTAAATTAAACATGTACTTGATTATTTGGGAGTAAATAAGGAGATCCACCTTTATATTACTGGTTTAGGTAAAAAACAGAACTGCCTAAATCATGGAATAACTAATAGAATTGTAGAGGTACCCAGGTTTTTTAGATGGAAGCTTACATAATCAGAATTCCTGAATGTATGTAGGCCGTAGGAATTTTTAAGTGTATGATAAAGGTGCGCTGAAAAAAAGTTCAAGCCTACCATAGGAGAACTAGATGTGACTAGTGCCTGGAGCAAGGGCATGTGGCTTGAGTTATATATTTTTCCTTTTTGTTGTGATATGATTTTAATGAAAGTAAATGTGAAGAGCTCACATTTATATAATTAATTGCATTCAAATTAAATTGGTCAATGATCCAAGACTGTTAATCTGGCACTATGAAGGCAATCAGTCACATAGAAGGGGCAGCAGCCAAGCTGGTTAGGCTCTATTGCCATAATAGTTCATATTTCCTAACACATTAATATTGCTGAAAATTTCATCTGGGATCACTCTGTCCATATTAGGCTTGGGGACCTGAATGTTAGACATCAGAACCTGGTCTAATTTAATTTCCATTTTCAAATGAGAAAATTGAAAGCCACTAAGTATCTTTTGGATGCAATACAAAAAGCTAGGGGCAGAATTCAGTCAAGGATCAGAATATAAACCCAAAGCTCCCTCTATTTTATTTATTGTAAAATTTCAAAGAGATGATTATGTAGTCAACATATTTTTGCTCAGTGAATTGGATGGGTTTCAGGGGGCATATAAGTGTAAAAGTTATATGGTTCACAGAGAGTACTGAATTCAAAAATGCTTCTAATGAACTTCAGTGTCAACACTAAGGTTCTTTCTAGCTCAAAATAATCTATGCTATTTCTCTCATACTGCATATTATTCAATCAATACCATGCATAGACAATAATGTATGAAAAGATAAGGATTAAGGATCCTATGCCCAAAGCTTACATTATTACTTGGTGTCTTTTAGCATTCTCTCTATTTCCTTTCCTTCAGCTTATCTTGCCCTGGTTGTGAATTCCTGCACTCTGATAGTGCCTTCTCATTCCAGCACGCCCTCTGTCATTATATTACATCCAGATACTCCACTTCCATCCTGTGATGCAGTCTAATGTGACAAAAGAACTATTCAGGGCCATAGAGCTGATAGAAGATAGGCTTCCTTGTTACAAACCATAGCCTTACTTTGCAGGTTGGAAAAGGGAGATGCAGGCAAGGGCATTAGCACAATGTGAGTGCCTCAGACTCTCTGGGTTTTCTACCACAGAATAGGGAACAGATTTTGGAAGAGAATATATATGATCTGGATACTATATATTATCTTTTCAGTTCTAGGAACCAGCCCTCTCATATATCCCAAAAAACAACTAAAGGAATTTTAGTTTCTGTGCTTCCCTTAAGCATAGTATGAGTTCAAGGTGGTGGACAAGACTCCCATATTTCTCACCAAAATTTCTTTTCTTGGGAACAAATATTTCTATTTCTCAATAAGAAATAGAAAGGAAAATAACTGGAAGAACCAGATTATTGAAGTGAATGAGTTTCACAGTTTGTCTCAGGGACAACAGAGACATGCTGCTTAGTAGTGAGAGGGAATAGAAAGCAGGCCTTTTTAAAGAGTCAGAGGTCCTACACCGCTTATGTTTTACACCTCTTCAACATCACATCAGACTTTTAACCTATACCATATCATCCCATTTTTTATACACACACACACTTAGCTGTAAGTTGAATTTTCATGTTTTGATTTTAACTTGTTTTGCAAAAATACATGATTTTCCTATAGTAAATTATTTAGCTATGATTTCTGGCAAATCACTGCACATATCATGAGCAGTTTTGAAGTGAGAAAAGCTAGCCAACAAATAATTTTCAACTATCAATGACAGTTTTATGAATACTAAATTTGACAGTTAATGAAATTGACAGAATGTTATTAGTTTTAGTATTATAGCTTTATTTTCAAATATTGAAGCCAAAAAATGTATTTTTCAGTTTGTAAATGTTTTCATATGTTTTTGGCTATGTGCCAATGGTCCCTAATGACTCAATGGCCCTACAACAAAGTAGAGGTAAGACTAACTTGTTTGCTTTTACCATTACACCAAGGATACCAAGAGCCTACCTAGCTTGTGTCTCTTTAAATAAATGCTGGGAGCAAAGGAACATCAGATCTAATATGATAGTGCATCCCAGCTGCTTTGCATAAAGTAAAAACTAATGTTTTAATGCAAAATACTTTAAGACTGTATTATATGCTCCTCTTAGGACCTTCTGTATTTTAGTCCTTTCCATATTCAATCTTTTTAATGTCTACTTCAAACTAGCATATTGGTTTCATACTTTCACTTCATATTCCCATTTCTATGGATAATATTCTACATCATTATTCTATTTCTGTGAGTGTATGTTATCATTTGATGATAAACTATTTGTTCATTTGGCCACTGACTACCTAAATGTATTACAGGAAAGACATTGTGCTAGGTATTCTATCAGACTTACTGAGGAAGTTGGCACCTGGCAGACATTTTCCTGTGTGACCCTCGTCTTCCTAGGCAAGGCAGATAGCCTCTCCTAATCACTAAGCAAACTGAGACCATCAAGTAAGCACTTCTTCAACTTCTCCCTCTCACACCAAAGTCGTATCTGCATCCATTCCCTTCTTACCTGTATTTTAATTTTAATGGAAGTATTGTCTCTCCCATCTAAAGCTAATCCTTCCAGTTTACACTAGACTCTATTACCCCTGGACTCCCAAGAGAATTCTTTCATTGGTTATCTCCTCTTTTCTGTATCTTTCATTTCTTTCCTTCAACAATTTCTTCTCATCCTGCTCAAGACTCTTGTAGTTCTAAGAAAGAAAAAAGTTCTTTCCCTGATTATACTAGCTATTATTCTTTCACATCTTCCCCTCTCCAACTCTTTTTTTGCCAAATTTCTTAAAATCGTTGTCTATACTTAGGGTTTCTAATTTGTCACATCTTTCTTCCTTCTCAATCTACCACCATTTGGCTTTCTTCCAATTACTGTACTAAGTTTTTTCTCATAGTTCACCAGGGTCACCATCTTATAAATTAATGGGCACTTTTCTGCTCTTATTTACTTTATTTGAATGTTTACAACTTTTGCTAAGGTTTACCAAACTCCATTCTATGGAAACTCTCCTCTCTCTCAGTTTCTATGACAATATCATATCTTCCTACTTTCTCTGAAGATTTCTTGTCAGTGTCTTCAGTTTGCTCTTCTTCCTCAGATCACCCCCTAAATACTGGTGTTCCTATGTGCTAGGCCATCTTTTTCATCATTCCATATAGTATTCCAGGATGACCTCCCAAACTCACAGCTTCATCTACTGTCCTCTACATCCAAACAAAATCTCTCTTATGAGTTCCAAGCCTCCCTAATTATACACAATCATTTTATCTTGTATATGCTACATCCAACATATCTTTTTAGTTTTTCTCCTCTTATCCATTCACTTTGCCATTGCCCTCATTGAAAATTCCATAGCTAGTTGCTTGGATGATTGCAATAGTTTCAAAATATGTCTATGTATTTGATCCATTCTATCCTTCATATTTGCCTGAATTAGTGTTTCAAGAAAAAAACAATTACATGCCTCCCTGATTAAAGCTTCAACCCTCCCTACAGCTTTCAGGACAAAGTTCAAGCTCCTTAATTTATCATGCAAGGCTCATGATTGGCATCTAAGTCTTTACCTCACCTGCCTCTTCCTCATTTGATACCCTAATCCTAATGAACTACTTGCAGTTCTTCAAGTATATGGTATTTTCCTTTACTTGTTGCTTTGCCTTTACTGCTCCCTCTGCCTACAATGCTCTTCCATTCCCTATATTTCTAAGTCTTACTCATCCTTCAAGACCCAACACAAATAACATTTCTGTTGGGAAGCTTTCCCTGATGCACTATGATTTAGATGTCTAGGGTCTATGCTCACATGAGAGCCTATGTATACTAATATCCTAGTACTTACCATACTCTAGTAAAGCATTTGGTGTACTTTTTTAATCCCCCTTCTAGACCATGCACTTCTTGAAAGCAGGAACCATGTCTAATACATCTTTGCATCCCTAATACATAACAACAGGAATGAGCAAATTAATCATCAGCCATAGAGGAAACAGACAACTGTAAATCCTATGACAGCTTTAGGCTGGCATTTACATTTATGAGTATGCACAAATATTTGACCGTCTTGTTGAGGTTCCCCTAGATCAAGTTATAGTATTAAGAAACATTACTTTATTACTTTCTCTCCCACCTTCAGATTAAGATAGGCAACATAGTGTATTGGTTAAGAACATGGACTCAGTCAGACTGCCTGGGCTTGAATCCTTGGCTTTGCTACTTACCAGCTGTTTGGCTGTGGCCTAACTGTTTTGGTTAACTTCTCTGTTTCCCTTTCAGTAAAATGGGAATAATAAAAGTACCTACTTCATGGGGTTATTATAAGGTTTAATTGAGTGAGTATAAGTGACATATAAGTGTTTGGTAAATAAAATACGTAAATATAAGTAATGATACACTTACCTGTTAGGGATAAGCTATATGTGATTACCGATGAATGCTGCAAAATATGTGTTCTCCATCTGCATATCATTTCATTTTTTCTCCCATACCTGCCACCATTGAATCATCAATGGTCTCCATATGTCTAACTGCCTACTTACTTCTTTCATATTTCTTCAATTATACCTACACTAAATCCTTTGAATTTGGGAAACTGAGAATTTATTCAGCAATTCAGTATCTTCTATTTCAATCAAGAAATTCAATATCTTCTATTTTAATTCAGTAATTCAGTATCTTTAGTACCACGTCATCTTATTTTGTTTCCTGTCCTCTGATTTTCTCATAATTTTACTTCTAAATTTTCTATGTCATTCTCATTCTGAGCTCAGTTAACAGAAACTAAAACTCATTGTCCTGCAGAGCACAAGTGTAGGCCTTGAATATGTAGTAACCATTTAAGAGACTACCCTGATAAGCATTACTATGCCTCCATACCGGAGACTCATCAAAAAAAACAAAAAAAAAACAAAATTAGTTTGTGTTTAAGTAAACAGATCTACTCCTCCCCTTTCAAGTGATATATTAACTTGGGGTGGGAGAGATGATCTCATTTCTTAAATATTTAAAGATATATCTGAAGCATTCTTATATGTACTTACACTTACAGGGAAATGGTCTCTAGAATGTAGGGTTATTACGTGGTCACAGAATCTGAGCTCATGGAATCTTGAGGGTAGAATGGGTCAATAGTTTCTCACATAATTCCACGAACAGTGAAGCAACACTTACATGAGTTGGACAAGAACAGTCTGATCCTTACTTTTATTTCTATTGCCATTGTCTTTCTTCAGACTTTAAGGTTTCAGTTTCCCTTCCTTGGGTTACTGCACTTTACTCCGCCTAATTTGCTTGCTCCTAAACTTTCTCCTCATTCCTCAAATACTGATCTTTCAAAATTTCATCAACACTATCTTCCTTAAACAGGGCACTGATCGAGTTTAGTTCTCCGCCACACATTTCGCCTTGCTCCCTTACCTGCAGAATAACAATGCACACTCATCAGGCGACATGTAAGATGTTTCAAGAAGGATGGTCCAGTCCACTGAGTAACCCCAGTTTATCTGTAACAGCTGGCATTAATTCACAATGATTTACTGGGGGATGAAAATATGAAGTTGAGTGAATTATAAAATGTGGCTCTTGCCAAATCTAAATTCAGTAAAATAAACTTTCAAAGGAAATTTGAATTTATGCTCTAAATTACTGGCTCAGTAATGACAGTTTTTTGAAAAAGAACACAATGAAATAGAGAACCTGCCAAGTAGGGCAGAATATAATTCCCAGTACACTCACTGAATCATCCCAAGCATCACTGCAAAGACTTGGCTACATCAAGGAACAATTTCAAGGTTGCAAAACCGACATTATAAGCACATCAGAGGCTGAGTCATTAGTTATAAGAACATCAAACTACGAAATTACTTTTAAGCACACTATTTAATTTTAACAGCTCCTTTGGGACTGAAAAGATTCAAAATATAGGGGAAAAAAAGCCAGTGTTGCCAACTTTAGCCCTTCTAAGAAGGCTTCTTAGAACAAATTCAAACATCTTTTAAAGTAAGAACTCAGGAAAACTAAGAGAGGCTCTAAACTTACAAACAAAAGAGTAGGACTGAGCAATTATCTAGAAAAATTACTAGAAAGGTAAATAAAAGTTTATTTCTATTATCTGGCTTTATCAGTTCAAACTCTACTGCTTGAAGGCCTGTCTTACACTTTTATCTTACACAGTCCACTAAACACTGTATTGAGCACATAATCAGCACTCACTGTTAAATGATTCCTTTTTAGTCAATGAAGGTAACTGGCTGAGTTTCTCCACCTCACATTCCAAGTACAGACACAAGGGAATCCTTTTTTTAAGCCTAAAAAATTGACTGAATTATGTCCCCCTCCCCCACAAATCTTATGTCGAAGCTCTAAACCTCAGTATTTCAGAATGTGTTATATTTGGAGATAGAGCCTTTATTCTAAAAAGATAATTAAGTGAAAATGGGATCCACTAGAGTGGGCCTTAATCCAATATGGCTGGTAGCATATGAGAAAAGAAGATTAAGACACAGTCAACATGCACAGAGGAAACACAATGTGAAGATGCAGCAAGAAGGGGTTCATCTGCAAGCCAGGTTTCCCTGAGGGGAAACCAACCCTGCAGACACCTTGACCTTGAACTTCTGGCCTCCAGAATTGTGAGAAGTAAATTTCTGTTTAAGCCACCACATCTGTGGTATTCTGTTATGGCAGCCCTTATGAACTAATACAGTCCCAAATCATGAGAACTAATTTGAAAACTCATTATTGGAAGATTTAACTATTAAACCTGACCCTTATGCTTTGATCTACTCTATAAATTTTCTTGTCTCCTTTTTGTTATGAGAGACTGAAAATTTATTCTGTTTTGAAAGTTTACTAAAATTTACCCATCACCAATTTGAGGTTGGATGGGAAATTTCTAAGGATAAATATCAAGGATATTTTAAAAGTATGATGTACATGCTCTGGGGAATATTTTTGTGGGCAGACAATTGGAAGACTGTTGACAACCTCAAAATCGCACAGCAGTCATTGCAGGAATCATCCAGGTTCATTCCGAAATGCACGGATTATGCATCCTTCACTGGCTCCCACCTCATGCACGGCCCCCCTAGCCTCCTTTTGGTGCCTCTGGCCAGAACCCCCAGGACACTTGGAAAATAGGGAGCCCAGCTCAAACACTCTAGGCCCTGTGGTCCTTAAATGGGAAGCCAAACTTGGGGGCAAAATTGAGGAAGCTCCTTCATACCAATTATAAAGAGGCAGTTTTTTCAAGGAACTTAGCAGAGCCCCTGAGACCTCCCTCCCACCTCGTTCCCACACTCACCTGAGACACCCTGGTTGGAGTGAGCCAGTGGCCAGCTTTATACACGGTGCCTTTCCCATCGTGCCCAATCTCCCTCTCAAAGTGGATCCCGCTGGAGAAAGTTTCACCAACTGGGGGGATGAAAAAGGCCTAAGTTTCAATAAAACTATGTGCTTTCTAGTTCATGTACAAATTTTTAATTTCCACGCTTCCAACACCTCTGCCTCTTCCAAACTGCATCTACTTCTATCTTTTCTGGCTCTGGTAGTTATGCGCCCCCACCACCACCCCGCCTTTAGCCCTGGTTCAACGCCTCCTGTTTCCTTACAAACAGTTTCCAGGAACTTTCCCTACTTTGAATAGGTCTTGAGAGCAGCAGCTTTCTCCCTCCTAGGAGGGGTTTCACCCACATAATTCTGTCATTAAAAGCCGGTGACTCAACAAATACTTAGGAATATAAAAACCTTATGCTGAGAGAGTGAAAGTTAAAAGAAGTTAAGGCAATAAAAACATCAAGTGAAAAGGACTGAGGAACACTCACTGGCTTTGCTTCTCTTCATTTCTGTCTTCCTTTATTATCTTCCTGGAAAAGCAGAATTTCAAGAAGAAGCTTGAAACTCCTTCTATTCAGATTGCAGGTCTTAATGGAAGTAGACAGCCTGTATTTGAATATTTGATGAAAGACTGCTTTCATCACTTATGACATAAAAAACTTTTTTAAAATACCCATTCTTACTCCTGAGGCCCAAAAACCTCCCATGTGATTAGTAAAATCACTCTTGTATTTTATAAATTGTATATCAGATTTGGACACACACAAACACACACACCCCTCACACCATCCATATACACACCACAGAATTATAATCTAAAAATAACTGACTTGAAAGCATTCTTGATTTGATCAAGAGTGGTGAAACATTTCTACAACATTGATAAATTGTTAGTTAAGAGTTAAGGTTGGTAAGCATTTCAGGAAGGTACCTTATCATGCAAGTTAAAATCAAAATAAAAGTTTTCAAAATAGCATTTACATCACAAGCCCATGCTAGAGACAATGACAGAAATATTGTGGGAAATGTGCTTGTAGCTTCTAGAAATCAAAATTTGGCTAGAAATTGTTATTCTTAGACAGTGCATGAAAACATGGAATAAGGAGACGGCCCAAGATGGTGGCATGAGTAGGACGGCAGAAATCTCCTCCCAAAACCATATATATTTTGAAAATACAACTATTCCTAAAAGAGAGACCAGAGATACAGTACAACAGCCAGGCTACATCTACATCTGTGAGAACTCAGCATCTCATGAAAAGGGTAAGATACAAAGCCATGACCCAGTAGGACCCGAGCTCTCCCCCCACCCCAGCTCACCAGCGAGAGGAAAAGAATTAGAGTGGGGAGGGAGTGGAAGCCCAGGACTGCTAAATAAACAGCCCTAGTAATCTGCACTGGGAACACAGACACACATTGCATGGTATACTGGATATTAGAGAAATGGAAAAGTAAAATCCGAGATAAAGACTGTGAGTGGGTCCCCACAGCTGGCAACCCTGGGATAAAAGAAAAGTGGGCACTTTTTAAAAGTCTTAAAGGGACAAGGGCTTAACAGCTGTACAAAATCATCCCAGTGCACTCAGCCCATCAGGATGGGAATCTTAAGGAAATGATAAGCAGCCTGCCATTCATTCCCCACCCCGCCAGAGCTGCAAGCAAATGGGCTGACCTGCCACAGCTGCAGAGCAGCCAGTGAACAGCCCCAGAGGAGCCAGTGAACAGCTCTACCCACAGCAACCACACAGAGTCTTCTCCCAGCACGTAGTTAACTGGAACAGACCCAGAGGCTGCTGCCAATGCACAGCTGCCTGGCACAGACAGAGGAAGCCAGACAAGGTCCAGAAGGCACCAAGGGGCACCATTCTTGCAGGAGAACACACCCGGCCATCTGCAACCCCCTGCAGTGCCCTAGGCTATCCCAAGGGCCACCCCACCCATAGCAGCTCAGGAGATTCCCAGAGACTGCTCCCTGTGTGCAGGTAACTGGCACAGAGAGCAGAGAAGGGCAAAGTGACCAACAAGCAGGAAGGGATTTTGTTCTCCCAGCTGACACACATACCACTTGCCAGTGATCACTTCTATCACCATGAAAAGGCAGAAGAATCTGATCCAGTCCAAAATTACTCAGACAACCCCAGAGAGGGGACCAGGCATGATAGATACAACCAATCTTCCTGAAAAAGAATTCAAAATAAAAGTCATAACCATGTGATGGATCTGCAGAGAAATATGCAAGAGCTAAGGGATTAAGTCCAGAGGGAAACAACAGAAATGAAACAATCAATAGAAGGACTTAAAAGGAGACTGTATGAGGTGCAAGAGACTATTAATGGAATAGGCAGGAATACAGAGAAGCTGAGGCAGAGAGAGAAAGAAAAGGATCTCTAGGAATGAAAAAATATTAAGAGAACCGTGTGACCAATCCAAACGGAACAATATTCATATTATAGGGGTACCAGAAGAAGAAGAGAAAGAAAAAGGGATAGAAAGTGTCTTTGAAGAAATAATTGCTGAAAATTTCCCCAAGCTGGGGAAAGAAATAGTCTCTCAGACCATGGAAGCCCACAAATCTCCCAACACAAGGACCCAAGGTGGACAACACCAAGATACATAATAATTAAAATGGCAAAGATCAAAGACAAGGACAAGGTATTAAAGGCAGCCAGAGAGAGAGAAAAGATCCCCTACAAAGGCAAACCCATCAGGCTATCATCAGACTTCTCAACAGAAACCTTACAGGGCAGAAGAGAATGGCATGATATATATATATTTTTTTATTAAGGTATGACTGATATA